GAGTTGCTTTCACGATGCAACCGTGATCACGCGGGTTTCTCTCATCTTTTTCACTTCTTTTCTCTCCGATGTTCCGGAGCCCTTAACCAGAATATGCTGCGAGGCAGTGGCCATCGGCAGATGCGAAATCGTGATTAAACGATTCGACCAACTCACGGGAATCCGCTTTCGACGAGATTGCGCGTTGCAAGCTTGTCGTTTCTATCAGAAATAACTACTTCTCACGTTAATATCGTGAATTAAAATTCGAACAAAGATTCGAGCGATTTAAGCTCGAATAGAGAACAAGGAAGAAGAAAGCTGCAAGGCATTGACAGAAATATGCCTAATGGTCGATTCCTTATTCCTCTGGTAATCGGTGCTTCGAGCTACCTCGACGATTAACCTATTGACCTAAAACCAAATTCCGCTGATCGTGCTCGATCGAAAGAGGAACGTTTTATGAGTAAGCGTTGTCGAGTCACCGGGTATATCGAACTTCATAATTTCTTCTAGAGCATCGAAAGTGCCCCCTTGGGGGCTACGGTTATATATTACCAGCTGTAATGAAGACTCCAACAGCAGCGAGCTACCGAGCCACAGCCTTGTTTATCACCTCACCTCACAAATATACAATTAACATGTTGAAAAGCCGCCCGGAGCTCTCGGAATCGTAGCCTTCCTTTGCTTCGCACCGACAAAGAAAGGGTTGCGAAACCTGTATTCAGTCTCGTTACCTCGTACACGCCTCGTTAAAGTGTGTCTGGATCCTTAGTCCGCAATCCCTTTCCTTATCTTCTGACTATCTCTCGAGAGACTTCCAAAATTACCGGTCGCAAGCAACCGAATCGTCGTAGAATTTCCAAGATTCGTCCTTGTTCACTGAATTTATCAACCAGGGAGATCGATCGCTTTTTTCGAAACTCGTAGTCGTGTGAAACTGACTTGAATATCGTGGGGAGAAGGGAGGGGGCAGAGGCGCACGATCGACTTTTCCCGCCTGAGCTGTCATTATTAAATATTAAATTAAAGAGAAAGATTATGCAGGCCCGGGGGAGTCTAAAAACGATGATCTTCAAGTTTGTCAGCGATTTTCTTTTTTTTAAATTATAAATTCA